ATTATCAATGCTTTTATCAGGTGATTTTTAGCATAATAGCTCTTTACTAAAGTGAGTTTATAGAAGAAAAAGTCATTTTGAGTGAACTAAACGGATATAGAACTGATTCTACAAAAAGTGTAGAACTTAACATATAATTAATAAATACTATCAGCAAACAGTGTGCATTCATATTATACCTCACAGGAAACACTTCACAGAAGGTGGGTTGACGACTATAGCTCTGCTTTTTACCCTTGGTAAAGATGATTGTTGTGCGTGTTGCCGCTGACCTATCAAGACTTCTTGAACAAAATGGGGAAGGGAAGGGATGGTAGGGGAAAAACAAAGGAGGAGGCAACAATGCTTGATAAGAAATGTACTCATTACCTTGCTCATGTAACTGTAACCCTTCTGTACAGCATTTTCACAATAAAAATGTATTAAGAAAAGAATCTACACATACAGTTTCTTCTAGTATGTTACTTGTGAGCTGCTCAATACAATTAGAAATTCTGGGACTTTAAATCTTTCAAACTTGGACCCCTAGTGTTAGCCTTTCGGTTTCTATTTTAACTAAAAGGCTCCAATGGAGCATTTGTATGCATTCAAAGATTTCAGGTTAAGTAAGAATTAATACCACTCATGCCACTACTGTGTCAATTTTGTCTTCATAGGCATGAGGCAGAGCCAAAATATATGATCTTTAGGAACAAGGGTAGTTTAGGTAATGTGTGTGCTTCTGGTTAGAATGTGGTGTTCATACACTACGTGTTTCATGAGATCAAAGACTAACTGCAGGGTACGTTGTTGCATGTGCTAATTAGAGGAGATGAGTTTAATCACACATACTGCACATCTCTATAGAAATTTTTACACGACCCTCCCTTTGTGTTATTAATGAATCATAACAAAATTTTTAACAAAAAAATAGAGTATCTACAGAAATGCTTTCAAGTGACTGTATGCCAACTTGGAATTCCATGCCAAGGTTAGAGTTTACATTGCCAGATAAGTCAATCCTGGCTGAGTTGCTGGTTGGATACAGTGTAAGTAGATGTGTCTGGCAAGGTGGGAAGGTTATGCCCAGGCTATGGCTTATGTGATGTCACATACTAAAAGGTCCCAGAGATTGGGGAAAAGTTGGGGGAGAAAAGCAGACAAAAGACTAACTGTGGCTTAGAAGCCCATTTCCTTTACTGTATTCTCTACACATCTCTGTTCTCAACAAAGAAGTAAGAACAAGAAAGGGTAGGGAAAGGGGTGTAGAAGTCAACAACTTCCAATTTCCCAAAGTACTTGTTCTGTTCCAGATAATGTTCTACAAGTATTTTCTGGATATCATGTGATTTCTTAACCACTCTGTGTGGTAGTAACTATTCCATCCCCGATTATACAGATGAGGAAACCAAAACATAACAAGTGACAGACAAAGCTAGAGTCTAAATTCTGAATTCAGCTATACACACATGATATAGGGAAATGTGGAAAACATATCCAAAACACAGTTGACATTGTACTGGATTTGTTTTATTTATTTTCCTCATATGGATTGTTTTTAATACCGTGAATGCACTGTCCTCTTAAATCCAGTATTCAATCGGTTTTTCTCAGTCTAATCTCCATTTTCAGCCCGTCAACATCTTCCGAAAACACCAGCTGCAACTGCACCAACAAAACATCCCTCCTGACAATTTACTGATAGGGTTGAAATTAATCTGATTTTTTCCTAATTATAAATTAATTTTTCCATAATATGCAGGACTTAGTTATGGCATTCTAATTAAGTATTTTGAGCCTTCACAGACCAGTTTGGTCTGGAAAGAAATATTGTCTATCTTGGCATTTCTGTGAAGTATGTCCCCAGGAAACATTTACAGACACCATCACTGCCAGCTTATTAGCATGGGAGAGGGGAATGAAGCCCAGCCAGGCTACCAAAGCACTTAGCTTTTTCACATAACTACCAGTAAGGTAAACTTCCATTAAAGCTACTTGTGTACGTGCATGTCTATTCTAGATGACTCAGACCACTAAAAGGTTTTTAGATATGTAAAAAAACAAAAGACAAAAGGAAGTTTAGATTCTCTAGCTAATTTAGCAGTTGTAGAAGATGTTTTGTTGAACAATTTTCTCTGTGGAACTAAGATGCCTATGGATTTTCAGAGCCATCAATTGCACATATAAAAAAAGGTTGGGATCCCTACTACTCTCGCACCCCCAAAAGTTTTTTGAAAATGCAGGTACAAAGTTGAGCTCTTCAGCATATTTTAAGGATGTTGCTTCGGTCAACATTCATTTATTATTCACTACAGAGGCTGGGGACAATGCATTTAACTATCCAATTATTCAATCTGCATTGTTGTATCGACAATGATATTATGAACAGGCCAGGAAAATAACATGCTGATATCAACATACATATAGCATGCATCTGAAAGTTTAATGGTTTTATGAGAAGAAAAAAAAATACAAGGGTTTCTTCTCCTTGCCCATAGAAGCACCTATTACTTTCTAAGTGTCATAGCTTGATCTAGAATCATAGAGAGCTTTTGGTGGTCTATTAGAAATACAGACAAGGAGTCTATATATTTAGGTACCTGATTTGATAACTGGCACCTAAATCAAAACCACCACCAATGGGCTGATATTTCCTCCCTATACTACATTTCACACTGATTTTAATTCATAAGCAATCAATGACTTTGTCATGAAACTTTCTCACTTCCTGTCAACATATGAAATTTTAATCAAGAAAAGAATCATGTATTTTCTGTATTTTGGAAACATCTAGTTATTCACAGGTTCTCAGAGTAACCAATAATAACTGAAAGCATAACAGAGTTGTGATTCACAATATTTTAAAAGCTAATTCAGTTGGGCCTGATTATTTGAATTTGTAAGTTCTACTTGTTTTATCTGATGAATCAATGTCTCTTTTGAAAAAGTATCTATTATAAAAGAAGTACAAGTTCATTTTACAAACAGAAACTAAAGGCAAAAATATATACAACAAATGTTAAAGTTCTCTGTTCTGTTTCATCTTTTCTCCTAATTTTTTTTCTTCCATGGTGGTTACTGGGTTTGAACTCAGGGCCTTGTGCTTACTGTGCAATTGCCCCCATCCTCCATTCTATTCTATTCTTGCTTCTTTTTTTGGGGGGGGGGGGGAGAGGAGGGGGCCGGTCGTGGGGCCTGAACTCTGGTCCTGCGCGTTGTCCCTCAGCTCTTCAGCTCAAACCTAGCGCTTTACCACTTGAGCCACAGTGCCACTTTCGGCTTTTTTTCTTATGTGGTGCTGAGGAATCGAACCCAGGGCCTCATGCATGCAAGGCAAGCATTCTACCACTGAGCCACCTTCCCAGCCCTCTATTCCTGCTTCTTAAAAGCACTCATAAGCCAGGTGCTAGATTACAGGCCTGAAATCCTCACTACTCAGGAGGTTGAGCTCTGAGGATCATGGTTCAAAGACAGTCCAGGCAGGAAAGTCCATAAGATTCTTATCTCCAATTAATCACAGAAAAAGTCAGAAGTGGCATTGTGACTCAAGTGGTAGAAGTAGTGTGTTAGCCTTGAGCAGAAGGGCTCAGGGACAGTGCCCAGGCCCAGTGTTCAAGCCCCACGACCAACACACACACACACAATCATGGAAATGTGATAAAGTAAGCAATAACTTATTTAAGAATATTCCTACTGCTAAAGTATATAGTTACATGGAGAACTAATAAAAAAGTATTTTCTGAGATTTTTGACTCTGGAAGCCTAAAGCATAATTTCCACGGTGTTGTCCCTATACCTACAGTTGAATGCATCTATTCTTGACTTGAGGAATGTTCTCAGGGGAAAATAAAATAAAATTATTTCATTCATTAGTAGAAAACATGTAGATGACTGAAAACTGTGTACATACGTTTATATATTTTGCAAACACTATGTAACTACAGGGCTTAATGGAGTAGTTGAGTATATAAATGTATATTTAAATAAACCACACCAGAACTAATCTATATTAATTAATTTTTAGTACTTATAAGAATAGTATTGTTATATTAATAATATATAATTAATATTATATGTATTTGAATGCAGGATTTATGAAATATAAATGCTTGATAGTTTCATAATTTTAAATGGTTAGCATTTTTTAATATTAAATGGGAAATAGTCTAGCAAGTACCTAATGTAAAATTGATTAACACAGAAAGTATTTTGTGACTTAGATAAATAGCAAATGATAAATACTGATTTTGGTAAATGTGTATGTACTTATAGGATGTTGAAAGAAACAGGAGTAGAGGAACACTTTTAAACTGGAAAAAATATAACTAAACAAATAGTTGGATTTCCATTGAGAATTGTAAATAGGGATGTATTAATACACTACAGAGTTCCTAGTCTTGGCCTTGCAAGGTCATATTACAGTGATTATATAAACAACTGAATTTTACTGAAAAATACTACAGAACATGACAGTTAAGACCTGTTATAAAAATGGAAAGTTATGGGGAGGGGGCGGGGGAAGGATGGGAAGGGTAAACAAAGGAGGAGGCTACAATGCTTGATAAGAAATGTACTCATTATCTTGCCCATGTAATTGTACCCCCTTCATACAGTATTTTCACAATTAAAAAAATGGAAAGTTAGAAAAATATTTTAAAAATGAAGGCTTAGTAAATACATTAATGATTTTAAGAAGTATTAAACCTTAGTATTAACATAATGATGAATATTAAACCTTAGCATTGACATTACTATGGTAAACTTTTATTAATCAAAATAAGGCATAGCAATATGTTTTGAAGTGTTTCTGTAGAGTATGCTAGTTAAGAGCAAGTTTTGGATTCAGACAGCATAAATCACATCTCAGTGCTAGCTGCATAACTTACGCAACTCACCGAACTGTGTGCCTCACTTCATCTCTGCAATGGGGAGTTTTCTTGGAATTGGATGAATAGCTAAAGAATACCTGAAATTAAGTATCCAAAGCTATCTACTACGTCCCTCAATATGAACATACTTACTTTAAGGAAAACTTGCAGATCTTGAGTCTGAGTGTGCTGTAGAATGTCTTGCTGTAGATGTTTGAATATAGCAATGCAGGTATACACTTGGTAATCAGGACCAAGGAAAATACAAGTAGCAATATAATGGCATATTTCCATCCAATCTAAATAATTCCAAAAACACTGTGATATCCACTGTAGGCAAATCTTGAAAAAAGAAGAAAGGTTCATTAAAAACCTTACAAGATCACACTGACTTTCAAAAAAACAGAAACTGCAAGGCCAAAACCAATGAAAAGTCTTACAGTTAACCAAAATAGAAAGGAATTCTGTATTTTTGCCTAATAACTATACTTTTCCTCTATGCTTAATGTGTGAGACAATTCATGGCTTTTGGACACAGAAGTTAAGGGTAAGTGATGATAGTCGTACTCTTCATCTACCAATTACTGGAAGTCCTCTTAGGGAACATAGTCTCCCTCTTACCAATAATAGTGGTTGCTCTCCACAGATCACAAATGCTGAGAATATTTTAATTCAGAGATGGGAGTTTTTCTATTCCACCTATAATCACAGATGTGTAATTATGCAGATGACAGATTGTTAAATGTTACATTAATGCAAATGGACTGTTGCTAAATCAGAAAATAATTTAAACCTAACAGAATTATAGAACATATAAATTATGAGTAAATGTAGAGAGTAACTTGAAAATTAGACTTTTACAAAAAGGTGGAGGTTTTTGCCTGTTTAACTTCTTTTTGATTAACATTCACACAGACTATAAAAGCCATACATGCCCATTGTGAAACACAAACACTTAAGAAAAATTTTTAAGTGAAAAATACATAGAGATGAAACCTGTTAGCATTTTAGTACATTATTGCAGACTGAACCCCCTCATGCATCCCCAAAAGATACATCAAAGTCCTCATTCCCATGTGACCTTGCTTGGAAATACTAAGGAGTTCCTTAGGGGAAGCACTCAGTCAATATGACTGGTGTCATAATAAGAAGGGAAAAGGGACAGAGACAAACATGCCTAGTAAGACCACCAAGAAAAGGTGCCAAGGAGAATAGCATGTGAAGATGGAGGACTGGGCTGGTGGGCCTCAAAGCTTGGGGAACTCTGGATGACTACATGCTGGGAAAGGCTCAAAGCAGGTTCCCTCCAGAGTGAGCAAACACTGGGGACACTCTGATGTTTGGGTTTCTATCCTCTAAAGTACTAGAAAATAAACCCACATTGTTTTAATCACTCAGGTTATGGCACTTTGTTATTCTAGATTGGTAAAAATTATGTTATAACATTTTCTCTTTTATTATAATTTCCAAACTACTCTTTATTGAAAATTTCTCATAAGTGAGCCAATTTTTATTTTACATCAGAGGATGGGGAAGGGGAAGAGAGCAAATATAGTGGCTTATTATTTTTCTCTTTTTTTGCTTCCACCATTTTGTCCATTAAAATACATTTTTGAATAAGTATTGAAAGTTGCCTTTTATTTTTCTGATTCAATATTGAGTTTTTGGTTCTGCTTTTAAAGGACAAATACGGAATATTAATTTGCTCTGTCTGTAGTAACCAAGTACCACAGCCAGGTGAATGAAACAACATAGTACTTTTTCACTATTCTAGACAAATCCATCAATCATATAATAAAGGCTACAAAGTGGAAATTAAATACAATTGGGAAACATTCCTTAAACTACAAGTAATGATAGCTACAAGGGTATATTTTTGCTGTAGCTCTAGATTTGTTCAGACAATTTTACATTTTCAGAAAGTGCAAAATAGTTGCCTATGATCAGGCTTTTGTGATGTAAGACAGGTAACCATTATGTATCCTAGGACACTTGCTGACATACTAAAGCACAATAATTAATGACATAGAATAGTGACTACAAGGAATGATAAAAGATGAAGTATTAAAGATACATGGTAGTGGTGGGAGTTAGTGGCTAATGCCTGTAATCCTAGATACTCAGGAAACAGATCTGAGGATTGTGGTTCAAAGCCATCCTGGGCAGGAAAGTCTGTGAGATTCATATCTCCAATTAACCATTAAAAAGCTAGAAGTGGAGCTATGGCTCAAGTACTAGAGCACTAGTCTTAACCAAAAAAAAAAAAAAAGCTCAGGGACAGAGCACAGATTCTGAGTTCAAGCTCTAGGACTGGCACCAAAAAAAAGAAAATAACAAGATACATTGTAACCCCAAGAAATGATAATTTGTTCAAAACTTTAATTAGAATGTGATTTTTTTGTTGCCTGCTCAAAAACAGAATATATTCAGCCTTGTTTTTTACTTTAACAATCTCATTACTCTTAAACTCTAATTAGCAAATATATATTTCTATGTTTAATTTTTAATACTCTAGTTTTACATGCTATTTTACTCTAGAGATCTTCCCACAAATCCTTTACTACTCAATCCCTAGTGTTTAAAAACATACTTCAAAAAGTGCTAGTCCTAATTATATCAAAATAAATGAGCTTTGAAACATAAAATTTGTAAGCAAATGATTATTTAATCACATATACCTATTTAGTTACTTTTATCCTGTTTTCACATATTTTAATTAGCAATAAAATGTGAAGCAATATAAGTAAGGCAATGATTTGTACTTATTAAGATAAAATGAAGCTCACATGGGAATCGAGTAAAAAGTATTTTTTATGTTTGATAAAAAGAATGTGACTGCTCAGAAATAATTCAATTTTTATTAAACAAATCTACTACTTGTATTAATTTTCAAATTGTTAAAGGTATAGCAAACTGGTAATTGATAAATTCAAATTTTCCTTTTAACTTCTAAACTGGTAAGATTAGGATTAAGCATATTGCAAGTTTTTCTCAGAATTTTTGGATATCTCTATCTGTCTATATATTTATATCTATATATTATGCTGGTACTGAAGCTTGAATCCAGGGCCTCATGCTTTCATTCAGTTTTTTACCTCATAGCTGATACTCTATCATGTGAACCATATCTCCACTTCTAGCTCTTTTGCTGGCTAATTATTGACTATAGTTGATTAGAACAGAGTTTTCTTTAAGGGCCACACAGAGGACTGAAAAGTTGCTGCTCCTCATAGATTACCTGTGATGGGGCAAAGCCAGACATATGAAATGCAGAAAACACAAGCGGAAGCTCAGCCTTCAGGAGCATTTCAATAGAGTGAGTGCTGCAGAAATAGACTGGATGTATGCCCGATTCTATGGTGTCAACAGGTAGATACCGCTATGGAAAACAGAGAAATTGGAACCAGTGAATATACATGTAATTGAAAATAATCGAATGTGTTGTTTATGTGGTGGTATAACAAGTTATTGTAGTCATTATAATTATATAAATAAAAATATAAAGTCTCAATAAAAGCAGAATTATATACATTGCTAAATCACAGGAGAAAGATAAAACTTTGAAATTTTGGTAACTTCAAAGTCTGTAGAATGATGAAGAAGGGTGCTAGATGAACAAATAAACACGAGTGAGTGAATGAGTAGTGAATACTTTATATATAAAGGTGTAGTGTATTTCAATATGCTTGCTATTTCTGGCCTAATGTTAAAAAAGGCTTTAGTTAGATTTGGGGATGTTTGCTTCGTTTTATATGTTGATATTAAATCAAATCTAAACCTGAATTAACAACAACCCCCATGTAGAACTCTACAATAAAATCTAACTCTAATCCTGGAGCAAAATGCATAATTCACCCAAAGTTCTCAGGGCAACTATGTTATATGTAATGTATAATTGTATACATATTTTTATTTTATATTATATATGTGTTTATAACATATGCATATGTTTATTTACAAACTTGGATTTCCGTCAGCAATGCTTTTGTGATTGGGTTTATTTCAGTTGAGCTCTTAGTCATAATTTGTCATGAATGGTCAATAATGTTTTTATCTAGTATTACTACAAATTCAACAACTGCCCACATAACTGTTTTTAGCAAAGAATAACTGTTTTCTAGCAATTTTGAACTGGTTACCAGCAAATTTTGAATCAAGTATCAAGAAAACATGAATAGCAATTATGCCAATAAAACTGGTCATTAAATTAGATATGAAGACTTTACTGGATAAATCCTATCTTAAAATGTTTGGGGCAGGGGGGTCCTGGGGCTTTAATTCAGGGCCTGAGTGTTATCCCTGAATTTCTTTTGCTCAAGGCTAACATTTGAGCCACAGCTCCATTTAAGAGTATCACAGACTGACAGGCTTGGAATCACAAGTCTTAGATTTCAGCCTCCTGATTAGCTAGGATTACAGGCATGAGCCACCAGCACCTGACTCCTAAAACTTTTTTAATAAAAGAAACGCTATGTTAAAAAACGAACTTTACAATTTAGCCGGGGGGTGGGGAGGGGGGAAGAGAGGGAGTGTTGTGGAGATGGGAGGGAAGGGATGCTAGGGGAAAAACAAAGGAGGCGACAACAATGCTTGATAAGAAATGTACTCATTACCTTGCTCATGTAACTGTAATCCCTCCTCTGTACAGTATTCTCACATTAAAAACTTCTTTAAAAAAAAAGAAACTTGATACTTCAAAATTAAGACAAATCAAACCCATAAATAACAAATAACATAGGGTTTAAAATATGAAGGATTCTTTGTAACTTCATTGTATAGTATTTTTAGAGATGTAAATCAGACATATATAATAAAGTTTCTGAAATTACCACCCTGACTTATCAGTGCTTTTGTGTTTTGTAATGACAATGATTTATCATTTCACATTGCACAAATATCGATTTGTAGGGAAAAATACACCACAGAAATTATCACTTTTTATTCTGATAGGTTCTCTAGGAGATATCACATATGGACAAGAATATGGTAATTCTATATAGTGATGAATGAAGACATAGCTAGCATATTAAATGGACATCTTAGTGTCACTTCACATCGATCTCTAGGAAAAAATATGCTGTTGAGTAGTTAAATATAATACAGACTAAGAATTAATATCCATTGATTTCCTTCTTGTGAAATCTAATGCATTTTGCTAATGGTTACTTGTATAATGAATGCATTTAATAAATATAATTTTTTTTGTCAGTCCTGGGGCTTAAACTCAGGGCCTAAGTACTGTCTCTGAACTTCCTTTGCTCAAGGCTAGTACTCTACCACTTGAGCTACCGCACCACTTACAGCTTTTTCTGCTCATGTGATACTGAGGAATCGAATCCAGGTCTTCATGCATGCTAGGCAAGTATTCTAGCACTAATGGCACATTTCCAACCCTAAACAAATTTTAAAGTGAATTTAGCTAATAATTTCTGAGAATTGTACATAATAGTAATAAAGAATTTCAATGTCCACATACCACACGCCCATAGAAGGGGTTTGAAAAGTATTAGTATAGATGATGTAGTATTGGAATTTTCCCCAAAATGAGTATGTTAACAAGATTCAATAAACAGAAACATAAATGAACAGAAACATAAATAAAACTGAGGGGCATACTTTCCTCTAAAATAATCTGAGAATTTACAAACTATTCAAGCTATGGAAATAAGTTATTAATGAAAGTACTTCAATAAAAGCTCAGTATGGATTTTCAAAATGCATACTAAAGAACGGGTCTATTCCTCTATAAAATATGGTTACAATTTCAAATTAATAAATGATTTTCTTCTATAATTTAACCATTAAGGTAATTTTTCTACCAAAACAACAAAAAATACACATTTATTTCTTATATCTAGACTTTACTATTTCATTAAACAATGGGTTTCTAACTATTAAACTTAAATTTTGAACTATTTTGTTGTGAAAATGCTTCTATAAGCTTTAGTTATCATTCAGTAAGACATCAAATATTGGCAAAATATACAATTTATATCTTCAAAGAAAATGACTCAAAAAGCATTCATGTAAGAAAATTGCTAAAATAATAAAGCTTCCTTAGAAAAGAGACAAAAAGTGTAGCACTTTTAGTTCATGCCTATAATCCTAGCTACTCAGGAGGCTGAGATATAAGGGTCATGTTTCAAAGCCAGCCCAGGCAGGAAAGTCTCTGTGAGACTCTTATCTTCAATTAGCCACTCAAAAACCAGAATTGGCTCAGAGTGAAAGAGGAGCTAGCCTTGAGTAAAAGAACTCAGGGATAGCACCCAGGTCCTGAGTTCAAACCCCACAACTGACCAAAAAAGGAAGGAAGGAAGGAAGGAAGGAAGCAAGGAAGGAAGGAAGCAAGGAAGGACAGAAGCAAGCAAGCAAGCAAGCAAGCAAGGAAGCAAGGCAGGCAGGCAGGCAGGCAGGCAGGCAGACAGGCAGAAATATGTAGCTCTTACAGAAATATGTAGTCTTGGTAGCCAAAGGAAAGCAGAGGTGAGAAGCCGGGAGAACTGCTGAAGAAACTGGAATGTTTTCTCTTTATCCCCCAACATTATCATGAACAGAGAAGATGCAAACCAGTCATGGCCAGGGTAATTTCCTTGAAGGCAGACTGGAAACCACAGTTAAGGAACTTCTGCAGTATCTTACAAGTTGAGATATAAAGAACTTCATGAATATTCGTTTCCAGGATCTTCCTTGGGAACTAAAATACTGATTGAATGTAGTACTCATTGTATCTTCAATTTACAAACTATTCAAGCTGTGGAAGTAAGTTATTAATAAAAAGTAAATCACTTCTATAATTACTACTTTAACATACTATTTGCTTACATATCCAGAGGAATTCAAGGTGAAGAGCAGCTGAAGGAAAAAGACACTGTTCTGTAAAGCTGCTTATTTAAGTCATTGATACAGCAGTACCCTCCTGCCTTCCTTGCTAAACAACTGGTATGACCAAGCATAATAGAACCTATATAATTTTTAAATAACCATTTCCTGGTTTTATTTTCCCTTGAGCCAACAATTCAAATGAAACTACAAAAGGACATCAGCAGGGTAACAGAGCAGCAGCTCTAGTAGGGATCAACAAAACCTCTTTGCAAAACACTTAGATTTTTGTGTGAAAACACCTTCTAATGATTTTGTTCAATTTAAGATTCAATGAGATCAAATGTTGGCTCAAATTAATAAAATTCATGTTTACAATACAAAACAAAATACCATTAAGGATATACTGTAACAAGTCACACAATAATTTAAAATATTACTTTACTATATAAATGTGGTAACGGATCTCATCAAAAAGTATGTAAAACACTGAAGAAAGATCAAGCACTTATGAATCCACTCCAAAGGATATGAAGTGAAGATTTCACAGGAGACTGCTGCTGTTTCAGGAATTTCTCACAGTGCTTTAAAAGCAAGGCAAGGTCATTTTCTGCACCATCTTTCAACAAGTTGAGAAACTTACCATACCTATGTTTTTTTTAAAAAAAAAAAAAAAAGAAGGCCATAAAAAACTGTACATTCATTGTTTTAATGCATCAACTATATTCCTTTTCAGATCTCAAGGTTTCGAGTTTTCAAAATTCTACTTTTAGCATAACTATTTTACATATACCATTCAGGATACAAAACTCTACATGTCCTGGTTAAGATATTTGTACATCAGCATTTACAGTATTAAAAACTCCTATATGTTTAGTACAATGAATGTAACAATTGTTCAAGGAAAATCATAACATGCTCCTTTTTTCCCCACATGTGCTCCTTTTGAAACCTTATTAAGACTTAACTTGATCATCACTGTAAGAGAACTCAGGTGCTTTCAGTCTTAAGAGACAAACAAATTCATTTTCAGTGGTTTAACATGTGCTACCAGCCTGACTTACACTGCAGTGTACCCAAACAGTACGTTATAAATAACTTTTTCTGAGTGCTAGTGTCTCCCTCCTATAATCCTAGCTACTTCTGAGGCAGCTAAGACCCAGAAGCTCAGGAAGCTCAAGGTGAGCCCAGGTAGAAGAGTCTGCAAGACTGTATTTCTAAAGTAACTAGCAAAAAAAAAAAAAAAAAAAAAAAGTGGTAGAGAATCGGATGAACAAGCAAGATGAGGGACCATGAGGCTCTAATTTCAAACTCTGGTACTAGCAAAAAAGAAAGAAAAAAGGAAAAGAAAAGTTTTCCATTTACTTCCTACAAATAAACCATTTAAAATATGTGACTACACTGCTCATGTTATAAGCAAACATTTCTAAAAGGAAATAGGGGCCCACAAACTATTTGCATGTGAAGGGAGTATAGAGTTGGAGAACATAATTAAGAGTTCAGGTGGAATGAAGTCATTGCATCATGCATTTGTAAAACAGCTTTTGTAATGACTCTCACGTGTTTCTATCATAGACTTGATTGTGAAGCTGACCCTAACATTAAAATGGGATGGTTCAAAGCCTCCTTTAATAGACAAGAAGCAGAATTGCAGTGACTTAGTCTTAATCCCCAGTTTGTGACTAAGCATGCCTATTTCTTCTGGCAATGGCAGTATGACTTAAAAAATTCAAACTATAATTTGAGTATCTTCATTTTAACTTCCAACTCTTGTTCTTAAGGTACTTTTGTACACTTCATGTTAGTCTGACAATTAGGACTAATCACATTTTAGAAAATGGCATGATTGTGTTACCAATGTGGTGATTTTTACAATGCTATTTTTGGGGAAAATCTGATAGTCTTTGAGTCTAAAACACACTGTAATTAGCCTCTGGAATAATAATGCACTATAACTGATTTACAGGCAGAGATAATTTAATCATGAGCCAATATACTGGAAGATAAAGTTATTCTTTTCTGAGTGATAAACTTTGCATTTAAAGAATACAAAATGGTTGGTTGTTAAATATTATTAAGCACATATCACGCAGATGAGTTCTCAGAGTGCAAAAGGGAGATTATTTCCTTGTATACCTGACAGTCATTTTAATGCCAAGCTGCTGTACAGATGAAAGACTTTCATTCTTCACATTTGCATCCGTGGCTAGAAACAATAGAAAACTGAGTTATAAAAATGTATAAAAGTCTGCATAATAATCACATTTTAATTGAAAATTGATGAAAGCAATATTTTTACATATTTAATGTGAATTTTGGAGACACTGATGAATTTGTTCTTTTATAAGAGCTGCCAGTTATATTTTCAAAGGAATTAAAAGGGAACTTTTATAAGTAACTTTTCTCTTATAAAAAGCATTTTTAATCACATTTTAAAATAACTAATAAGCCAGGTACCTGTGGCTCATGACTGAAATCCTAACTACTTAGGAGTCTGAATTCTAAGGATTATAGTATGGCTAGACAAATCCATCTCATTGGAGACTCTCATCTCCAATTAACCAGCACAAAGCAGGAACTGGAGTTGTGTCTCAAAAAGTAGAGCCTCAGAAGTGAGCAAAAAAGCCAAGCAGATGAGAAGACAGGATTCTGTACTCACACACACAGTAATTCTGAGCAAAACGCAATATATACATATTTAAAATACCCTTGGTGAAGTTAATAAACACTAAAAAAAACGAAATAAAAAAAAGAATGATAGGAAAGTAGAGCAAATCTGGATGGGGGAGTGGGCACCAGTGGGAGGATGTAGGGCTCACAAAAGAGTGAACAAAGATGAAATGGTCACCACAGTGTTTTCACATATGAGAATGAAGTAGTAAAAACCTGATGAAATTGTTTTAGAAAGGAAATGAGATAAAGCAGAATGATACAGGGGGTGAAGTTGATCAGAATACTTTGTTTCTATGTGTGGAAATGTCACACTATAACCCCCCATTGTACAATTAATGAGTGCTATAACTGACTTCAAAATAATTTATTTTATTTGGCCACACATATAAAAGAACAAACAAAAACCAAACAAAACCATTAAACATAAAAAACAAGATCTACAATACTGTAACTTTTACTATGCAATGACTATAAAATATCTTGAATTATAAATATGCACAACCATAGTTTTTTATTCCTTCCTGACATTCATGTGAAAAATTTCAGCAAGCATTCTTGCACTTTTACAGAATAACAATATACAAGAGTGAATTTCTTCCTGCATGCAACTTTTCTCTGTGAGTAGAAAATATGATCATCTACCAAAAGTGAGGAAGGGTAGAAAGGATAAGGAGAGCCTGAAAGGTTGGGTTGATTCTAAACACCGAATGTGAATATTTGAAAGAATCACTAGTTTGTCTAAAGAAAGTAGTGTACATACACACAATTAAGGAAAGCCATCCAAAATCACATAGTTATCTAGTGCTAAACAACATCAAAACCCAGGTTTTTCTGAATCTCATATAATTGGGATCTTCTGGTCACTACATATGAGTAGATTTCATACTATCTATAGGATCTGTTTCTACTGTAGGCTCTTTCATTTCTTGTAATAAATCACCTCTGATAAGGATGAGTGTGGAATACTATCCAAGAATCTATGAAGGATAAGAGATAAATCAGATATATGCTGAAGGAACTTTTCTCTGTAGTGTCAAAGATAAACTGCATATAAAGATAATTCTGATAAAGGTGTTTTATAGGCCTAAGTGGGAGAAGAATAGTATAGAAAGAGTACTCTGGGAATTCTAAAGAAGAAAAGAGTTTCTGCATCTGCTTAGGAAAACGTGCCATGCAAGGTAAACCTTAAAATATGAATAGACCTTAGATATTCAACGAAAGGAAGACAAATGTGAACTGCTATGGAGAATCTACTCTTGACTGTTAATACATACTCTTTAGCAATGCAAGTTAAGGTAACTAACTCAACCTAGTTTGCCTGGAAATTTCATGATGGTATAGCAGCTTAGGTCTCATGCAGCAGGAACAAAAGTCAGTCCCAGGGGAAGGAGATTTAGCCACCATACCCAGAAGTGGTTATTTTCTTCTAGAAAAAGAAGTTTAAATACTCGAAACTCTTTTCTAAAGTGCTTGGTGAATTCCTTGACAAGCCACATCTGAGTCATTTATTTAGATTGGAATGCAATCTTAGCAATGCTGTTTATATTTTACTTATAATGACAGCAGTTAAGCTGCACTTTACATAGCTTTTATTTTCTTATTTACAACTGTCATGGTGTTAACAGATGTACCTTCTTTCCCTTAAGAGGAAACCAGTTCTATACTTCTGAAAGATCTCCACTTGTAGCAACAACAGATTAAAGTTGCTATTCAAAGTTGTTCCCCCAGATTTTCAAAATGGAATGGGCATGAACCTTTTTCACCTTAGAAACCATGGAGCTAAAGAGGATGTACATCTCTGGCAGAAAGAAATAAGTCTACCACATAGGGACAGACAGAGAAAGAAGACAGCTCATTTGATGTCAATGATCCTTTTCTGATTCTTTTGCTACATAAAGTGATAGAAAACTTTGGTTTTCATTACTGATGGGAAGGATAAACAAAGGAGGAAGCAACAATGCTTGATAAGAAATGTGCTCATTACCTTGCCCATGTAATTGCAACCCCCCGTATGGTATTTTCACAATAAAAATTTTAAAAAAAGGGGAGCTGGGAAGGTGGCTCAGTGGTAGAGCGCTTGCCTTGCAAGCCTGAGGCCCTGGGTTCGATTCCTCAGCACCATATAAGCAAAAAGAAAAAAGCCGGAAGTGGCGCTGTGGCTCAAGTGGTAGAGCACTAGCTTTGAGCTGAAGAGCTGAGGGACAGTGCCCAGGCCCAGAGTTCAGGCCCCACAACCAGACCCAAAAAACAGAATTTTTTAAAATTACTCTCCCTTTTGCAGCAATGCACCCATTTTTTAAAACTACCAACCATCATTTATCTATTAAATTTTAAGGATTATTATTGGGGATATTAATTGATTGGTGGGGAAGCTTTTAAAACAATAAACTTAAAAGTCTTATCCTAAGTTGATACAGCTATGGCCTAGACCTCTTCTCAACTATAATAATGTGATACAGTGACAATAATGTGCTTTCTATCCAGTATATCAAGCTAGGTTCATACATATATGTCTCTGAACGATAGAGGAAGAACATGTGGTGGTGGGAAGGACAGAGAAATGACTCCCTATGCCAAGTGTCATATGGACCATGGTCATATGGACCTGGGGGTGAGTGCCACCAGGAGACTGTAGCCTCCATCCACATCAGTGAAGCCTGGGATGAAGTCAAGAAACGGGGTAAGTGATGCTGCCAAAAGAAGTAGCTTAGGAATGTTCTGTGAGCACAGAATTCTTCTCATTCTTCTCTTGGAAGAAAGGACTTCTTCCAGAGTAGGTGGACTGAGAGGAATCCTTTGACTTTTGTAGAACTGAATGAATAATTTACACTCCACTCTAAATAATAATAATAATAATTTCTACTCCACTCTAAAAGCTTGTGATTATATTTTCAGACAAAATCCTAGTGCTAGATCATTTCAAGTGAAAATAGTTTCCAATAATGGCTGTGCTTCAAAATCCTCTGAAAAGGATTTATTTTTTTTTTCCACAAGATAAACTGGATCTACTATAGACCAATAATTAATACGTAAGGGGTGAATGAGTGATCATTTTTAAAGACCTTTACTTTTTCTTTGGGCATTAAAATTAAAATTACCAATATAATATTTAGACATAGTTATAAATGAACAATAATACTGACTACTCAAATTCCACATTAGTGAAGGGTTCAGTTAACTTCTCAAGTTGTTCATATGGATATGTTGAGTATAACAAAATAAACATCAAATATTCCATTTACAAATGAAATAGATATAAATAAGTTTAATATTAATAAAATCCTACAGAAAAAAATAGAAAAATGAACATGAAACCAGAAAATAATATAATGGGAAAAGAAGGACAAATTTAAAATTTAGACACGTTTTACATACATTTTTTGACAACTTAGATGAAGAAACGAATATTAGACTATGAAAGGTCAGTGGAATTAACTGCATTATATACAACCTGGGCTAAGTAAAATTTATTAAGTAAGAATTAAAACCTTTAGAACTAACACTAACAAGGTAAATTGAATAAGTAAAATTTAATGATAAAAGATGTATGTCTTGATGCAGGTATGGTGGTGCATGCCTGTAATTCCAGCATTTGGGTAACTGAGGTAGGACAACTGTGAATTCAAGGTTAGCTATAAAGCAAGACCCTAGCTTAAAAAAAATCAAACAATGATGACTAAATAGTTTTGGGATCAATATCTATGGCCAACATATTAATATATTCACAATGTTATGTGGGAGACATAATAGCTGATTAACCTTCAATAATACAAGCAAATGGGGGAGGGGACAATAAATATTAAACTCGAAGAAAAGTGGAGGGGAAAACAAATGATAACCTAAAAGTTTTTCTGAAATCAAGCAACAAAGTCAGGATGGAATTCCCATTCCCCGAAATCAATGAGAAAACCGTAAGTTGTTGAAAAAGGGTAAGCAAATGATATCATACTTATACTTACTCCTATTTGCTTCATAAAGCTTTCTTAAACCTAAGACAGCATTATTATGACTATTATGTAAATAACCAATCATTCTGATTATAAAGATGATAGTTCCAGAATAAAGTAATTCGAGGAGACATCTTTAAATACAAACTTCAACTCACCTGGTAATGCATTCATTTCCATTTTGGGTTTGCAAAGCAAGCACAGACAGCGGCAGAAGGAAAAACTAAATCTGCCTGCAACTTGGCTAATGGTTCAGAAAAAAAAAAATGCATTTCCAGAAGAGTAAAGAATTTCTCCACCAGAGGACAAATCATGGCCCGGAAGCCAGTTTCTGCCTGGCTGTTTACTGACACTCCTGAAACCCTGCTATATTTGTTGTGAAGTCAGGGAAATCTTACCAAGCAAAGAAATCAAGTCAGGACATTTCCTCTTTCCTTTCCTTCTTTCCCCAAAGTCAAGGCTGCAGGCTCTCTTGCTTCCTTTTCAGAAGAAAACTATTCTTACCTGTTTTATTCAGTTCATACTTTTCTAAATCCCAGTGCTTTGTGACCCAGCTACCTAAGCATCTCAGCTTAATTGATATCGTCAGCGTTATTTGGATTATGCAATTAGTACAGTCCAAGGAAGCTCCCTGTCTTCTACTTTTTTCAGTTCTAATGTTCCAAAAAGTGGATATGTACCACTCTCTATTGTTTCCTTCCCTGTGCCAATACGGCACAGTGAACACCAATGATTCCTTCAACTGGGCTCATGGAGAACTTACAACAAAACCCCTCAATGACAATAAACCAGTTCAAACGGCATGTCCAAAGGGGCTAGCATATTGCCTGAAATAAAATAGCCACCAGAAAAATGTCTGTATCTCTACATTTCTTTAGTTTTTAATCTTGCCCTGGGCTGCAACTTGCTTAAATGATAACCTAATGTATGTTCTCTTCCCCGTCTTTAAGGGCAGGTTCATATTAGATACCTCCTCACAAAGATCATTCTTATACCTGTTGTTACAAACATTTTATTCGCTGCATTTCAACACTGTGACCAAAATACCTGACAGAAACAACTGAAAGAAGTATTGATTTTGTCTCACTGGGACAAAATAACTTGAGCAGAACACTATGGCCACAAAAACATAGGTCAGAGGATGTTCTTCACTTCTTGGTGGATAGGAAGCAGAGAGCGAAGATACAACAAGGGGAGAAGGACAAGATTATCTCCCACCCCACCCCCACCAAGGACCTGCCTCAAGCAACCAACTTCCAGAAGGCTCTACCCCCTAATGTTTCCAAAGCTCCTGAAATAGTGCCACCAGCTGGGACCCTAGACTTTAACTCATGAGCCTCTGGGGAATGTTTCATATTGAAATCATAAGAAATATGTCCTACAAATATGACAGAAAATAAATGTATTTAATATCCAAAGAAAGTACAAAATACAATACATAAAAATATATACATTCAACTCAAAACTAGTATTTTAATAGCCAAATGGTTATTAACTACCATCATGAAAAGAAAAGGGAAAAAATAGGGTATTAAATATTCAAAGAGGCAATCAGAGTACTAAAATAAAGTTCCTGATTTGTTTCTGGGAGTTGAACTGACAGAATGTTAATGTCTATTAAGATCCGGAAAAAAAATACCTGTATGAACTTGCAAACTGCAAATGTACAAAACTTTATCTATTTGTCCTTCCTTCTTTCTTTAAGGGGATAAACAGTCAAACTAATTTGATTTCCCAGATTTGCAAGTTTTATAATGGATGGAAATCCTGAGGGAGGTGACAACAGATGGATGATTGTGTTATTCTAATTTCAAGGACCTTAGGGTTTAGAAAGCTGTCACTTAAAAAAAAAACAATTTCTCATTTCAAGAAACATGAAATAAATACTGACTATATCCAGTATTTGCTTTGAAATATCTTTATGTAAAAGCATGTTTTTGCCAATTTATAGCAAATAGAGGAAAATATTAAAACACCAAGACATTTTTATACCAGCCAAACAACAACAACAACAAAGCCAGATGATTAATGATGAGGCCACACACAGTCTGTGGAGGAAAAACCTAGCAATGAGCTCACCATGCCACACTAATAAACATTAAACAACCAGTCAACAAGAAGCCACTCTAGTTTTGGCTTTCCTATAAAACTCCAGTGAATAGCTGTGCAACAGAAGGCTTTAAGGCATTGAAATTCACATTCTGGTTTCTATCTGCCTAGATAACACATTCACCAAATCCAACATCTGAGGTCTCACTCAGCATGATTCAGAAATGCAACAGAGAGTAGTAAACACATGCACAGTAAGTAGTCAGTCGTGCTGAGTATTTAGATAAGATGTACAACATAATTTGAATTTTATATTAGTTGAGCAAATATGATTGATCCAGCGAGACAATGTTACCAAGACAGCTGTAGAAATTGGCGATCATTATACTCAAGTTTACAGATACCTAACTCAGGTTATGAACATGTCCATGATTATAATTTCCTACTCCTTTCTTCTATTGAAGATTGATCACTAAATCTGGGTTGATCTTTATGTAAATTTTAGATTCATTCTTAAAATTATGATTTTCCTTCCAAATATGTTCCTTGAAAAATCTCTCCATAATTTTTTATTTCCTTCTTATACGACAAATCTCTATGAAATATTATCTATTTGCAAACTGGGCATTGGTCAAATTTGAAAATGCTTAAAATATACCTGTATATTCCATTGAAGGAAAGCAACACACAGATGGGTTTTCACTGAGATGAAGCACAAATTTTTCAAGTAATTCTGCTAAAGCTGCAATAAACAAGTGAATAATTAGGATATCGAAGGTCAAGGATACATACTAATGCATCTCTAGAACACAGACTAGCAGCTAAAAGTCACCTTTTATACATTTTTTAATCTTTATAACCTTCACAATTATATTATAAAGGAGTCTTATTCAAAATGCATAGTTTTAGTATTCATAGCAATGTTCTGATTTAAATTCAATTTTAATAGCTTAGCTGAGAATCTATTCAATGTAAAACTAGAAAAGAATAATCTGTTATCTTTAGACTCCCTAGGGATTATTTCAGAATTTGATAGATGATTTCAATGTAATCAGTAAGCTATAATGTTTTCATTGTTATTAGTACATATTGAGACAGATTAATGCATTGCTCATGTCCCTTTCAAATATCACATGTCATATGAAAACATATGCAAGACTAGATGCATATGTTCATAAACAAGTTGACTCAACTATGGTATATGCATGACAGGATTCCAGTGGCGTGACTCATTTGAACAACCAACTTACCATTTAGTAAAATGAATACTAGGAAGCTGAAACATGTTTTGGCAGAGACAGGGAGGTTAAGGGAGAAGAGGCAGATGAATGGAAGGATAAGTGAATACAATTATGAGTCAATGTCTATATATGAAAATGGAACCAAATAACTTGAGTGGAGTTGGGAGGGATGGGGGAGAATAACGGAAGGGGCAACATTGCATTGTACTGTAGTCATGAACCGAAATGCTGAATTGAAATTCCCTTGGTACAACTACCTTGGTGATATAAAGAAGACATATATTCTATATACTTTGTAACTGAGTATATCTCAAAGAAACCACAAAAAAAGGAAGCTTGCCCTATTCTGTCTTAAAAAGTAACAAAAATGGGGGACGAGGGGAGATGGGAAAGGATGGGAAGGGGAAACAAAGGAGGAGGCAGCAGTGCTTGATAAGAAATGTACTCATTATCTTGCCCATGTAATTATAACCCCTCTGTAAGGTATTTTCACAATAAAAAAGTGACAAAATTATTCTCTTCTAAGTTAATTTGATACTTTCATTGTGTGTGCACATATTTCCCTGTAAACAATTGTAAGGATCCCAGAACTACATATTTGTAAGAGTAGGTACTTATCTCCCTGTGACTAACAGATTCACTCACTGTGAAATCACTGAAAATCCCATTGTCTATAAATTTTTTAAAATGTGATTGATGTTATGAAACAATTCTTGTTATACACACAATATAGCTTTGTCAGACTCACTACTTCTGTCATTCTCCCTCACCTTCTCTCTCCCTTTCCCAAACCAATCTCAACCAGCTACCTTCTCCATTCACTCTTACCTCTCCCAATACCACCTACACACAGACAGGACTTGTTTTATGTTCCTGTCCTCCTTTTCCCCAATACCCCTACTGTAACAGCTTCCTGTGAGATTGATTTTACCATCTTTATTCATAGGTGCAATGTTTTTAAGTACTGTTCACTCTCTAACATTCTCTTCCCACTCCACAATCCCCTCAAATGGTTCCACAGTTACAAACACATACATATTCATAAACAGAAACATATACATATATATGCACAGGATCTTGTGTATATTTTGTGTATGTTTACATACATGTTTATCTTTAGGGCTAGTATCTACATACAAATGAAACTTTTGACCTTTTGAACTGGTTTACTTGCCTCAACATAAAGATTTTCAGTTCCACCATCTTCCTGTGATGTAATTTCATTTTTCCTTACAGCTGAATAATACTCGACTATTCATATGTTCAATGTGTTCTTGACCCATTCATTACACATGGTTCATCTGGACCATTTCCATAGCTCGGTTATTGTGAATAGTGTTGCCATTAACATGTGTGTAAGTGCCTCTATGATATCTAGATTTAGCTGGATCCTATGATAGTTCTACTTTCAATTTTAAAGGAACTTCCTGATTTTTTCAGTAGTTACATTAACCAAAAGTTAGAAAGGAATCCAAAGGTATCTAAGGGTTCCTTTTTCACCAGTATTGTTGCCAACATTGTTGTTCGTATTCTTGATAATGGCCATTCTAACAATATGAGATGATCTTACATTTTAAAATTTTTAGGTATTTTTATATGCCACAAATATTTTATAAATATCAGGGGGAAAATTCTATGTAATACTTAAACATAAAATTATTATAGACTTTGTTCTACTTTGTTCTACTTTACTCAAAATGACATTTTAAAAAATTATGATTTCAAAAAAAATTAATGTAAATGTAAATATCTGAATACAGATAATAGAGAAATTCCTTTATAACAACTTTCCTTAGGAGTCACTAAATTTATACATGTAAATATTTGGATGTTTTAAATAACATATTTTTGACCAGCAATAAGATTTGAACTCAGGGCCGTAAGCTTACTCAAATGACATTTTACCACTTGAGCAACAGGATCATCTCATTATTTTGCTGGCTATTTTGGAGGTGAGGTCTTGTAGACTTAATTGCTCAAGCTAGCTTCAAATGATGATTTTCCAGATTTCCACCCCGAAGTAGCTAGGATTGTAAGTAGGCTATCAGTGCCTGGCTTCAGCTATTTTATACAAAATAAAATAAAATTTCTTGAAATTATAATAATATGGTATAAGTGTAGTAAAACCAAGTAAATTTCTGCTAGGTGACATTGATTATATTTGCAAGTTTTGCTTATCGCTATTTAGAGAGGCCACAAATCCATAGGGAGTACTTAGGGGTTTTTTTTTTTTTTCAGAATTACAAGTTTCTCAGGACTCAATGGATTATTATGTTGTCTGGATATATCAGTACTGGTCATTAATTATTCATTATTAATCCAATTTCATACAAAAGAAAAGACAGAACAGAAGAAAATAACAAACTCACCACTTCCACTGATTGTATCAGGTTTGGCTTTCATCATTTTGCAAAACTGTCTTTGGCTGTTTTCAATCCAATCAGTTTGTTTTTCTGACATTTTGAAGCATAGCAATAGCTTTCCAAGATCACTGTCTAATAAGTCAGATAATATGGTACATTATTTTAGTAAGGCACGATAGATATGACACATAGGTATTTGTATTAAGTTTGTATGACTGCAAATTCTGTAATGTCTTATATACTGTAGTTATTTAAGTTACTAAACGCTTATAAAAGTGAACTAGTTATTTAGTAAAAGCAAATAAGACAGATTGTTGGTTTGTAACCATAAGTATTCACTAATGTTTTGATATATCAACATGGGTCATTAGGGAATGAATATTGGATTTAACAAACACTTCCCATTTTAAGATTTCATTATAGAATGTTTCCTATCTCAATTCTGAAATTATTTATGATGGTGAACATTACAAACTATTTCTATTTGGGGATATTGCATATTTTTTGGCTTTTCTTTAATAATGATGTTGTTGCTTCTTCCCTATGTTACAGCCTCACACTCTTGCTTGTCTTTTCTACTCATGGCTGATACTTTACCACTTTAATTCTTTCTCCACTTCTAACTTTGCTGGTTAAACTAGAGATAATATTCTCCCAAATTTGTCTGAGCAGGATACCTTTAAACCTCATTCTTCAGCTCTCAGCTTCCTGAGTAGTTAGGATTATAAGCATGAACTTGCTACATTTGGCTTAAGAAAGACTACATTGAAAATATAAGAATATTATAGACAATAGAAAAGGGAGGCTAGGTCTAGGAAATTTGTTTAACAGGATCCTAGCAGAGAACTTCACAAACATGCAGAAAGATAGGCCTATTCAGATACAAGAAGCTTTTAGAACTCCAAATAGACCAGACCAGAACAGGACATCCCACCGTCACATTATAATCTGCACAAGATCAATTCAGACCAAGGAAAAGATCCTTAAAGCTGTCAAGGAAAAAAGATCAATCACCTATAAAGGGAAACCAATTAGAATCACCTCAGATTTCTCAGTAGAAACAATTAAAGCAATAAGAGCCTGGAATGATGTATGCCATGCCCTAAGGACAAACAACTATCAACCAAGAATACAGTACCCAGCTAAACTCTCCTTCATAACTGAAGGTCAAATAAAAATCTTCCATAGCAAAGAAAAATTGAAACAATACATCTCCACCAAACCAGCCTTACAAAAGATTCTTAAAGATGTCCTACACATAGAAAACCAACAAGACCACAATAAAGGCCAAGAAACTGCACCCTGAGAATCCAAGAACCATAGGAAGAACCCAGTTTTCACAGCCCCCAAGAAGGTGGATAAAATGGCAGGAACTCCCAAATATCTCTTAGTCCTTTCTCTTAACATTAACGGGCTTGACTCTCCAATTAAGCCACAGCTGGATTAAAAAGAAAGATCCTTCTATCTGCTGCCTTCAGGAGTCACACCTTGCCCATAAAAACAAACACATTTTGAATGTGAAGGCTGGAACAAAATCTATCAAGATAACGGCCCCCATAAACAGGCAGGAGTTGCAATCCTAATATCAGATAAAATAGACTTCAAATTAAAATTAGTTAGAAGAGATAAAGAAGGTTGCTACATACTAATTAAGGGATCTCTCCTTCAGGAGGATATTACAATCCTAAAACTCTATTCGCCAAACAATAGAGCACCCAAATTTATTCAAGAAACACTACGTTCTCTCAAATCTCACATAGATCCAAAGACATTAATTGTTGGGGACTTTAACACACCACTATCCCCACTAGATAGATCAACTCAGCAAAAACTCAACACAGAAACCACAGACCTAAACAACTGCATATATCAACTAGATTTAACAGACATCTACTGAATATTTCACCCAACAGCATCAGAATACACGATCTTCTCAGCTGCACATGGAACATTTTCCAAAATAAACCACATTTTAGGTCACAAAGCAAACTTGTCCAAATTTAGAAACATTGAAGTTATGCCTTGCATTCTCTCAGACCACAAGGGAATAAAATTAGAACTCAACACCAAAAGCCCCCAAAGAAAATCCTGTAACACACGGAGGCTGAACAACACACTGTTGAACCACCAGTGGCTCATGGAAGAGATTAGAAACTAAATTCAAGTGTTCATGATATTCAACAAAAATGAACACACAAACAACCACCATCTCTGAGACACAGCAAAGGCAGTACTCAGAGGCAAGTTTATAGATCTGAGTTCCTACACCAACAAATTGGAGAGATCTGAAACCAACAATTTAATGAGACATCTGAGCCTCCTTGAAAAAGCACAGCAAGATAAACCCCAATCCAATAGATGGAAAGAAATCATCAAAATTAAATCAGAATTAAATGAATTAGAATTCAAAAAAAACCATAGAAAGAATCAACAAAACAAAGAGTTGGTTCTTTGAAAAAATTAACAAAATAGACAGACCCTTAGCAAATCTTATCAGAAAAAGAAGAGAACACACCCAAATAAATAAACTCAGAGATGAGAATAGAAACATCACCACAAAAACAACCAAGATTCAGAACATTATAAGGGAATACTTCTCAAAACTTTATGCTAATAAGTTTGAGAACTTGACAGAAGTGGACCTTTTCCTAGCAAATATGGACATGCCGAAATTAAACCAAGATGAGTTAAACAATCTTAACAGGCCCATATCAAACATTGAAATAGAAACAACAATAAGAGACCTCCCATCTAAGAAAAGTCCAGGACCAAATGGTTTTACAGCAGAATTCTACAAGGCCTTCAAAGAAGAGCTCACAGCAATTCTCCTTCAACTCTCCAATGAAATTGAAAGAGAAAGTTCACTACCGAACTCATTCTATGAAGCCATAAAAACTCTCATCCCAAAACCAGACAGGGACTCATCAAAAAAAGAGAACTATAGATCCATTTCTTTGATGAACATTGATGCAAAACTTCTCAACAAAATTTTGGCCAATCGACTTCAACAGTTCATCCAAAAAATCATACTCCACGATCAAACAGGATTCATTTCAGTGATGCAAAGCAGGTTCAATATACACAAATCATTTAACATAATTCTTCACATTAACAAGAGCAAGGATAAGAACCACATGGTTATCTCAATAGATGCAGAAAAGCATTTGATAAGATCCAATACCCCTTTATGATGAAGGTTCTGGAAAAATTAGGAATCCATGGAACATTCCTCAATACAATAAAGGCTGTATATGACAAACCTACAGCCAGCATTATACTCAATGGTGAAAAACTAAAGCCACTTCCTCTAAACTCAGGAATGAGACAAGGATGCCCACTCTCTACACTGCTCTTCAATCTAGTATTAGAATGCCTACCTACAGAAATAAGACAAGATGGGTGCGGGGGTGGCAGGAGGATGGGAAGGGATGGGAAGGGGAAACAATGGAGGAAGCTACAATGATTGATAAGAAATGTACTCATTATCTTGCCCATGTAATTGTAACCCTTCTGTACAGTGTCTTCACAATAAAAATTAAAATTAAAATAAAAAAAAGAAATAAGACAAGATGTAAACATAAAGGGGATCCAAACAGGGAAAGAAGAAGTAAAACTCTCCCTCTTTGCAGATGACATGATCTTGTATTTAAAGAATCCCATGGACTTTTCTCCCAAATTACACAAGGTGATTCAAAACTTTAGCAAAGTAGCAGGGTATAAAATTAACCCTCAAAAATCAATGGCTTTTCTGTATGCCAACAATGAGGAAAGTGTGGCTGAAATTAGGAAAGCAACTCCATTTGTAATAGCCCCACAAAAAATAAAATACCTAGGAATTAACTTAACCGAAGAAGTGAAGGACCTCTATGGTGAAAACTTTAAAAACCTGAAAAAGGAAATCAAAACAGAACTTACGAAGTGGCAAAAAAAAAAAAAAAACTCCCATGCTCCTGGATTGGAAAGATCAATATCGTGAAAATGGCAATACTTCCCAAGGCTATCTACAAATTCAATGCAATACCTATCAATATTCCAACCTCATTCTTCAAGAAGAAGAGGCAATCCAAAAATTCATACGGAACAATAAAAGACCCCGAATAGCAAAAACAATCCTTAACAGAAAGAACAGTGCTGGAGGAATATCAATACCAAATTTCAAACTCTACTATAGAGCCATAGTAATCAAAACAGATTGGTACTGGCACAAAACAGACCTCAGGACCAATGGAATAGAATCGAAAACCCACAAAGGAACCTAAAGACCTATAGTCATCTAATCTTTGATAAGGGAGCTAAAAAAAATAGAATGGAAGAAAGACAGCCTCTTCAGTAAATGGTGCTGGCAAAATTGGTTAACTACTTGTAGAAAACTAAAGCTAGATCCTTATGTATCATGCTGCACCAGAATCAACTCCAAATGGATCAAAGACCTCAGAGTCAAAGCAGACACTCTGAAAACATTACAGGATGGAATAGGAGAAATCCTAGGTCTCCTTGGCTCAGGCCAAAATTTTCTTAGTAGAGACCCAGAAAGACAACAAATCAAAGAAAGGATGGACAAATGGGATTGCATGAAATTGAAGACCTTCTGCATGGCAAAGGACATAGCTAGCAAGATCAATAGAAAGACCAATGATTGGGAGAAGATCTTCACTAGCCATACAATGGACAAGGATCTCATATCTAAAATATACCTGGAACTCAAAAAATTAAATCCCCCAACAACAAATCTTCAAAGAAACAACTGCCCAATAAATAAATGGGCTAAAGACTTAAAGAGAAACTTCTCTGAAGAAGAAAGAAGGATGGCCAATAGACACATGAAGAAATGCTCAACCTCCCTAGCCATAAAAGAAATGCAAATCAAAACAACATTGAGATACCACCTCACCCCAGTTAGAATGGCTATAATCAAGAACCCCAATAACAACAGATGCTGGAAAGGATGTGGACAGAAGGGAACCTTACCACATTGTTGGTGGGAGTTTAAACTTGTTCAACCACTTTGGAAAGGAGTATGGAGGTTCCTCAAAAGACTCCACATAGAGCTCCCCTATGACCCAGCAATCCCACTTTTGGGCATTTACCCAAATGATCACAAAGAAGACCATACTAAAGCTACCAGCACAGCT